AAGAATCGTCTCATTCAGAACATTAAGCTACATATTCATTAGAGCGTATATCGTGTATCTTGTGCGATAGCCCTACAAATCATTAGCATATATTCTGCAATAAATTTATGCACACAAAAGGAAAAGAAGATATCATGACCACCTCAATATCGTCGGTTTGCTAGGAGAGAGACATATCTCACAGACATATCTCTAAAAAATAAAATTAAAATTATACCGTTTAACAGGAATAATGTCGCAATTAAAAATCGGGCTGTTTTATCAGAGACCCCCAAAACTCAAAGACTATTATCTAAATTGTGAAAGAAAAAAAATTGCTAAGTAATTAATAGCTTTCCACCACAAAAAATTTCAAACCAATTTTCTGAAAAATTTACTTTTGTTAATTATGTCACTCTTCTGCTCCAGAAGAAAAGAAGAGGAGACAGTAAATAAGGAAAATTTTGCAACAAAATACATATTTGCCATCAGCATTTTTAATTTCTATTTATATTTTACTCTCACTCTCAGGCAGTATTTTCAAAAATTCCCAAATTCTCCAACTAATCCTCTAACTTCTGCAATTCCATCTCTGTTTTTCGAACCCACCCTATTAAACACACATATCGGTATCTATGTATGCGTGTGTGTACGCAATCGAAAACAGGTGAATATCGACGGTTATCCAGGTAGAATCTCGTACGTAAGCGACACGGGTGCACGCGCATGCACCGGGGTCACGGCGGATGCACCATAGATGCATCATACTTGCTCGCCTCTATGGCAACCAGAGGCTACGGTTACACAATCCGCGCCAGTCTGCATTCAGACGATACCGCAATTTGCGAACCGAGACTTCGCTCTTGGTGAGCCACCTCGCCGTTCGACGTGTTTCCTTTACCGGATGTTCAGCCTCCATCTTTTTCATAAACCTGTTCGCGATATTTTCACCGATTGACACGAAACGCGGATACGGATAACGATCTCCGGCTTAGATCGGTGCACGCGATCCATTCGACAAGATTCGACTTCGCGTATCGCGTAAGGTGTTACATCGATCGCCATGTTTTTAAATTATTAGCTAGGCTACATTCGGCCGATCGGTGTGAGTTTCCATTGGCTTATAGATCGTTTCGTACATTCACGATCTCTGGCAAATCGTTGTTACTCGATCGACGAGACTGTGCATTGTGAATCTGCAATTGTTTCGGGAGGAAGGTTCATTGTTCGCGTAATTTCTCTGCGATAGAAGAGTAGGCTTGTGTTGTTTGTAAGTTCATTGATCATTTTGTGACGAGTATTGGAAGTATTTTCGTCAAATTTTTCTCAAGGGAATTTTTAGAAAATTTTTATAAAAATTAGGTTCATTCAATATTGACAAATAGTTATATAGCTTTGTAATAAATATCAGCTCGCAAAAAGTGTTAAAATTTCAATTTAACGTTGTTTTCACACTTGGATAAATTAAAAAACAAAAATATCATTCGAGCAATTTTAGTTTATATCAGAAGAATAAAGGAACTATTACGTGCTGGTATTTACGCGAAGTGAAAGTACAATGTACTCTGTTTAAATAAACGATTTTTGTTGACCAGTGAAACAACTTTACTTTTGCGCTTCAAGTAACACTGTATTCTGCTAGATGAGTATCTGTTTCTGGTATCTTTACCGATGCAAACATTAAGCATATCTTATCTGCTGGTTTCCTTCCTAATTTACTTTCTCCACCGTATTTTCTTGTAGAGAAACGTGTTTGTGGCTTTTGAACAAACTAGATACGCGATAAATCGAAATCTTCTTATTTCTTCAAATTTTCGTAGTTGGCAAATTGAACCGATGGTTGATGCAGAGTTTTAGTTTGATTTTTAAATTGAAAAATTAAAGAAAATATTTGAGATTCATTCATAACGAGCTGTTGACATGTTACATATCGTTGTGACGAAAAGTCTTATCGTATTAATTACGATATTCGATTAATTACATATTATCGCGCTCGTTTATCACTGAATGTTGCACGTCCGCGTTATAATTCATCGAAACGGATGGAAGAGAATTTTCTTCACTTCCTTACTATGCTTTCTAAACTCACAAACATTTTTTCATGGTTAAATACATTAAAAGCAATGTATGGTCCGCAAGATTACTAAGTTCTATCATTATCACTTTACTATCTTATTATTAGCGTATTTGGATAAGCAAAAGAAACGCATGAATTACCGTTTGTTTTTATCACATGAAACAGTTTCACTCATTCAAATAATTAAATTGTTAGTTTCTTCTAAATGATTATACCCGTCTAACATTTCACTGACATGATTGAAATTTTCAAATAATTTACTGATGCGTTGACTTTCCTACAAAAAAATTAAAAATGTAAACGTAAAAATCCACGAAGCTTTACCTACATTTCACACTGACTTAGGTTCAAAGCAAAAATTGCACAAATTAAAAAAAGCAGTCACTCATTTTCTTTTACACTTAAACTATATATTAATCTATTTAGCTTTCGATAATTAATAAAGAAATAATAACACTTATTTAAAAAAAAAGAAACTAATTTTTAACCGCGTACGAATGAACGCTGCAAAGTTGAACAAGCTTTCTCTTCGTAATTGTTCAGTTGTATGCAACGAAGTCAGGTATCACGTGAAACATCTCAGTACTTACAGTGTAACGAAACAAACATCCTACAAAGTCCTGCGAAATCAAATATTGTCCGTCATTTTCGTGACATATCGGGACATCTGGTATCGCAATTTACCCGCGTATTTTCCCTCGAAGATTGGCAAGACCGATCAAGGTGTACAATTAGTCGCAGCCGTTTTGCAACCACAACCACGGGGAAAATGTGAAATCAAAGCCGGGGAAACCGATATCGAACACTGGTCTTGTTTTATCCGACGTTTCGTCGTTGAACACAGGCACTGAAACACGAGGCAGTGTCCACTCAGGTTCAACCTCGCGCAGAAGACGCGACCAGCGGGTATTCGATGTCGACGACGAGGTCAGGTTTTAAGGTAAAACCGGAGCCCAGCCTTTGTGAGCTGGACGAATTAAATCGCGTAGT